CCTCATGGATCTATCAATCTATTGATATTTCCTTCATTGTTGTTTGGTGGGTCCTGGCTGGATTCGAACCCGCCACCTTAGGTGTATGTGGCTGGCGCCTTAGCCGCTTGAGCCACCGGCGCCGAGCCAGGAATTTAATTCTTCCATGATTTGGAAACTCTAATTCTAGGTAGGAAAGGTAAAGATTTATTTTCTTCTGCTACCATGATGAAGTTTTGACCATTGCATCCCCTGATTCCCTGGGTGACATCAACAGCCTATGGTGACACTGTCCTTACTCTATACTCAGAGTCTTTTATTTATCTTCTGTCTTCCTCTAAACTCTGACCCAGTTTTAGAAACTTGCGGTAAGAGAGAACACTCTTTTTTAAGAGAACACTTAAGAAAGTTTGCCTTTCTTAATTCTGCTTTCACAAAGAAGTCTTTGAGGAGTCACAGTCTTCTTATTTGTATAGAATGACAGTGGTGTTCAAGGCCTCTGTGGCACTTATAGAAAAGTGAGTGCTGAAAAGCTGTCCCCAAGCCTCCATGATCACAATATCTGCTCAGTTTGAGTTATAGGGAATGGTGGTTGATCTGTATGTTCCCAGAATGACAGTCTGCAGAGGAACCAATGACTACAGAATCCATCTCCAGGCCATTCTTCCCCTCATAGAATATATCCCTCTAACGAGAGATACTGAGAAGCACAGGGCCAGACTCACTCATCTCTTCCAAGGAAGTCAAGCACAAAGCAGCCATTTTCCTACCTCTGCTCATCAGCTCCCTCTGTAGGAAAACCCAAAAGACTGGTGTAGATGTCTTTGGTGTGTTTCCTGCAGACTCTCCCAACTGGCATTCTAAACCCCTCCAGACCTTCCCACTCTGGTGCTGCTGGGGGAAGGCAGATGGAAGGAAGGAGAGAGGCTGAGAAGAGGGGCTGCCACCCATAGATCTAATCATGAAGCTGCTGGGGCCACCCTCCATAGAGGCAAATGGAGAAAGTGTCACTGAAATGTATAGTGTGCATTTATGGTGCCACATGGCCCACAAGTGCTTTCAGCTCAAAGTGGGGGCATTCCCAAGTTCAGATACCTTCCTGTTGATAGCAAAAGATGCATTATGCCTTATAACATAAGTAACCTCCACATCTTCCAGAAAGTTGAATTAAGACCTTTTCTTCAGGCTTGGCACCTGTGGCTCAAGTGGCTAAGGCGCCAGCCACATACACCTAAGGTGGCAGGTTCGAATCCAGTGCAGGCCCGCCAAACAACAATGATGGCTGCAACCAAAAAATAGCCGGGTGTTGTGGCGGGAACCTGTGGTCCCAGCTACTTGGGAGGCTGAGGCAGAAGACTCACTT